TACATTTGAAAAAGTCTGGTAGGAGACTGTTGAAACGAGTGTATAAATCATTAAATATTCTCATATGGTAAACAGATGGGGAAAGACATTGTTTACTTTGTTTACTCAGGTGTTTAAAAAACCTAAATTATTGTTTTCTTCCATCTCACAGAGATGTTGCAAGTTTAGGTATTCTAAAAACTTGTTAGCATGATCAGTGCTGTGAAAGAGTACAAAAGCATCATCAACTTATCTTCTATATAATACTTGTTTGTGATGAACGGAAGCAATTATCGAACCACTGACATTTATAATACGAGGAAAATATTTTTAAAAGTTAGACCTAGAGGTAATCTCATCAACACTCTACCTGGTCGTAAAGCTGACCATTAAAACAAAGTGATTATCCTAGAGGGCCAAATTAAGAAGCTATTTGAATTTTTATTGGTTAAAATTAGAGTGCAGGGCACATTTGGTTGAGAATAACTGTTTAATAATAATTTTAATTGTTTCCTAAAGTGGGATGTTAGTGAATAAAGACTGAATATCAAAGCTGGCCTTGATGAATGGTTTGCATCAGGAAATTTAGGTATTTTTTGAGCAAAAGAAAAAAAAAAATCTTTAACATTAAATTCATTCTTAGTTAGTGAGCTTAGTGCAAGTGCAAGATATTTAACAAGTATGTTGGCATGGGAACCAAACATAGATAGAACAGGTCTGAGGGTTAAGCCATTTTTGTGCATTTTTGATAAGCTATACATAAGACTGGGACATGAACCCTATATGATAAAGTTCTACAAAAGTGGTGTCAGAGATGAGTTTACAATTTTTTAAATATCTTAAAGAGTCCATTTCAGTTTTTTCTCATGCTTAAGCATAAGGTTAAGCCAGTCATGTGGTTTAACATTTGTTCTATCAAATATCTTTTAATTTGGAAACGTAATCAGATCTATTTAAAATAATGACATCTGCACCTTTATCTACTAGGATAATAACAATGTTTCAGTTACTGACAAGTTCTTTTAAGGCAGAAAACTCAATCTGTTTAGTAAAAGAAGATTTCTTAAAGGAGATGAAGTTATAGGAAGAAAACAATGCCACATGTTTAAAATTAGTTTTGATGAGCCATTTTATGTTTGTTATATCTAGGAAAGGATTCAAGAGTTCTGTAGACACATTTATATGGAAAAAAATTACTTCAAGAAACTAAGTTCACAGGTAGTTAAACAAAAATTAAAACATTTTGATAGAGCATTTTTACATAATTCACTAAAGGTAAGATCACTAAGAATTAAAAATAACATTATTAGGATTTATGTCACTAGATTTTCTCACTGAAATTAATTCGTTAATCTTGACATTCTGGTTGTGTTTTAGTCTGACAATAGTTTTCAGGTTGAGATTTTCAATTATATTGGTGAGGTGACGATAGTCAATCCACAAAATTTTCTTCTGCAGTTCAAAACTGGCTGTATTATGTTGGTTTGTTAGCTGTATTTTCCAACATTTTGTTTTCAAATCTTCTACCAGTTGTTTTCTTTGACAGCAACAATAAGCAGAAGAGCCATGGAGATTTTGGTTAAACTTCTTAAAGTTCAGGAATTCTGGAATAGCTTAGTGGTTTTTACATGTTGTTAAACACTGAATATCAATAGAGACCTTTCTAAGTTTGAGATCAAGCTTTTCAAAAGTACGAACTAAATGTAAACTCGTCATACTGATACAATCATACCAGAGTATTTGCAAATAATTCATCATGTGGAAAACAAAGTTTTATAATAAATAACAAAAACTAATAACATATAACCTATCAAGAAGCCACACATTGTCTCGAAGTATCCACTAGTTCTTATCACTCCTTTCATGGGCAAAGAAAGTTTAAACACAAATCTAAAATTAAAAAAATAATCAAAGCATATTACCCACAACTTAACTCATTCAACCTGAGATCGGTCCCTGGGACTGACCTCGTAACCATTTTGTG